GACCGGATGCGTCCGGTCGAGGTTGGTACCTTACTGGAAACAACCGGACGCTGGGGGTTCAGCGTCCGGTCAGTTGATAGCTGCTGCGTCCGGTCAAGTCAAGTGACCATTGGAACCGGGACACGTGGCCGTCTGCGGGCGACCGGACGCTGAGGTCCAGCGTCCGGTCAACACGACCGGAGTGTCCGGTCGGCCCGACCGTTGCCCAGTGAAGGGGTAACGGCTAGTTTAGCCCTTGGGGCTATAAATAGAAGTGGCCCTCGGCCATGGCTGGGGCTGAGCACCTCAAGGGACTTAGTGTCCATGCTTTTGAGTGCTTGGGAGCCCTCCATCACACACATACTTGATAGCGATCATCCGATTGTGTGAGTGAGCGATTCTAGTGCGATTGCATCATGAGGTTGCATCGAGTGGCACTAGGTGATCGAGTTGCGAGCCGGTGGTGCTTGTTACTCTTGGAGGTTGCCACCTCCTAGATGGCTTGGTGGTGGTCTCCGTCGAAGCGTGCAAGAAGCTTGTGCGGCGCTCCGGAGAAGTGCTTGTGAGGGGCATTGTGCTCGCCCCACGGGAGCCACGAAGAGCAACTCTAGTAAAGCGTGTCATTGAGCTACCCTCACTCAAGGGGTAGGTTCTTGCGGCGCCCGACGTGTGGGCTTAGCGGGTGATGCTAATTAGTCACCGAACCACCAAGTGAGCGGTCGACACAACGGGGACTAGCGTGTTGGCAAACACGTGAACCTCGGGAGAAAAATCATCGTGTCAACCTTGTTCTTCCCGTTGGTTTGCATCCCCATTACACAAGCTTGCAATTACTTATATATATATCTTAAGCTTGTGTAGTTGCTCTTGTAATTAGATAGCTTGTGTAGCTAGCTAATTACCTTCTTGCTTGTGTAGCATAGAAGTAGCTCCCTTGCGTGGCTAATTTGGTTTTAGTAACCTTGTTAGTCACATTGCTTAGTTTGTGTAGCTAAGTATTTGCGCTCTCTAATTAGGCGTTGGTTGCCTTGTTATTGAGCATTGCTAGTGAGCTTAGTTAGCTTTGTGCTTTTGCTTACTAGCATGTGTAGGAGCTCCCTTGTTACTTAAAGTACTAGTGGCATAGGTTTGTGTGACCTTGCTCCTAGAATTGTTTAGGAGAGCTCTAGCTAGCCCGGCACCTTAGTTGCTTTATTAGTATCTTTGCAAGGTGCTAGTGAACATATATAGAGGGGTGTAGTCTTGGCTAGACCGATTGTTTTAATTCGTATTTATATCGGTTAGCCGACGCGATTAATTTTAGAAAGGACTATTCACCCCCCTCTAGTCCGCCATCTCGACCTTACACCCGCCCATTGTCGGGGCTCGGTCATGTGAGCGATTTAGGCGTGGGCGTGGAGAAGACGATTACTGTGGTTGGGGGTGGGCGACATCTTGGGGCCAAGTGGGTGGCGGCAAGAAGGAGAAAGCGGAGAGAGGCGTGGGCGTGGGCGACGTCTTGGGTGACGCGTGGGGTCGTGGCGGCGATGGCAAGTGGCGGAGAAGCGAGCGTGGGCGTGGGCGATGTGTGCTAGGCATAAAAAGTTAGGGTGGGAAGTTGCCTGCTGCCAAGACAGGTGGTGAATGGTAGCGGTTGGTGCCGGTTGGCCTTGATGTGGGGCTGGATGAAATTTGTGAAGCCGAGCGGGCCTGGGCCACAGCGAGGCTTCCTTCTTCTTTTCTTTTTCCTTTTTCTGTTTTTCATTTCTTCTCCTTTTGTTTGAATTCAAATTTGGTTTGAATTATGAATTCAAAATTGATGTAACCTATTTATTTGAGTTTAGGGAATTTTGTTTAACTATTTTGTATAACAAAAATAGATGTGGTTTTGTTATACAAAAATAGGGTTAGTTTTCTCCTTAAGCATTTATTCTTTTGATTCGATTAATAATTACTTTATGATTTATTACTTTAATGGAGTTGTTAAGCATAACATAAAGCAAATGGAAATCCAAATCATAATTTGAATTAACAATGTATGCAATACTTAGAATTTAATTAAACACAGTTAACTAATGACATGCCAAGCTTATGTGTTGACTTGGGTTGGGGTTAGACCTAATGCATCTCTTAGGTTGGGTTTCCATACATGACACTCATCATCACATGGAAGTTTTAAGAAAAATTTTGTAGTTGGTATTTTTGGTATGTGGATTTTTGGGTTGTTACAACTCCGGATGAGGTATTTCGGGGAAAGTGGCTCTCCTCTGGCAAGCTACGTCATGACGTTGGCGAACCAGAAGGTGAGGCGGCCTAGGTCCTCCCGGGATAGTCGGGGTCCTAGGAAGGCGCCGAGCTGGCATTCTAGCCTCCCACAATCGAAGCCAAGGAGCTGGTCACTCCCGGGGGCGCTGGCCTCCGGTGCATACAGCCGTAGCTCCTCAAGCGCCTCGACGATCGCGTTGAGGCCGGCGGAGTGGAGAGGTTGGACGGCGATGGGAGCCTGCACCAACTCCCCCCCCCCCCATCGTGACGATGAAGTCCAGGTTCTCGAAGCGCACGTGCGCGCCCGGGACCCAGCTGATGCCGAGACTAGCCATCTGAGGCCTGATGTGGACGTCGAGACGTGCAAAAAGCCCCTACCTAGTGTGCCAACTGTCGGTGTTTTCGGACCACCGACGAGTAAATTTGTATTTGCGCGTCTGGCTCGGATGGTGTGCTTAGAGGACACAAGGGTTTATACTGGTTCGGACGGAACGTCCCTACGTCCAGTTTGCTGTTGCTCGTGTTACCGGCACTTGGTTTGTAGTAGAGGTTATAAACAGGCGATAGAGGGAAAGGATCCCAAATCTCTATTGAAATGAATGAACGGGTGCTGAGAGCTCGATCGCTACTCAGCCGTGTGCTCATGTCGTGCTCTTGTGTTTTTATCTCGTGGTTCGGTCTTGTGCCGATCTAGATTCCCCTTTTCATGGGGTGCCCTACTTCCCCTTTTATAGGCGAAGGGAGAGCATGGGTTACAACGGAGGAAAAGGAGAAGAACTAGAGCGAGAAGAAGGCTTCCAGGATCGCCGGGTTCTTCTTCCTCTTCATGCGGGTCCCGTCGACCCTGTAGACGTAAACAGGGACGGCTCCATGTCGTGGCCCTGTTCGTCACTGACGCCATGCACAGGCGTCGTCTGTCAGTCATGGCATTCCATTCCGTCCTGGCAGACGTCGTGGTGAACTAACACGCCTGTCAGCATTCGTATGAGGGTTAGGCAAAACAGCACCGGCACGCCCGACGCTGTTCTTGATGTGAATCCTTTGGTATGGCCCGTCATGGCCACGGGTAACATCAAGGCGTGCTAGTCTCTTCCCTAATGTTAGAGTTTTGACACAGGCTCATACGCTTGGACCTGGAGTGGTTGGCGGCGGTACGAGTCCCCATCGGGCGAGACGAAGCCCGCACCCAAGGGGTCGGGCAAGACGGAGCCCGCACCCAAGGGGTCGGGCGAGACAGGGCCCGCGGCCTTTGGTGAGACCCCCGTGGCCTTGGGGTCGAGCGAGATAGAGCTCGCACCCACGGGATCGGGTGAGGCGGAAACCGCGTCCTTGGGGTCGGGCGAGACGGAGCCCGCACGCAAGGGGTCAGGCGAGACAGAGCCCGCAGCCTTGGGTGAGACCCCCACGGCCTTAGGGTCGGACAAGACCTTTTAATACATCTTGCTTCATCCGGCTAAGTCTACGTGGACGCTAACCTCCTTGCTTTGGGTATCCCTAATAGCGATACCCGACACGCCCCTAATGCTGCGACTAGACGCGCCACTCCCCGCAGTCACCCAGCGTCAGGTCACATCCAGTAAGCATCCAGAGCCGGAAATCGACGATCGGACGTGTCAGGTCAGCAGCGACTCGACGCATGGCAACGTCCGATCCTCTCCACGCGCCAAGATCGCTTGCGTCAACGTACGTCACACACGACCGGACGCACAAGCGTCGCGTCCGGCCACAGACCGACGTCGCACCCTTCTCCGCTATAAATGACCAAACGCACCCCCACCAAGTCCGGTCACTTCGGGACTAGAGTCCGGTCAGAGAAAACAGTGCCATCTCAAATCCAACTTCGCCACCCTCGATCAAATGTGCCAACCACTAAGTGTATCACCTTGTGCATGTGTGATAACATATTTTTATAAATATTTTCAAGGGTGTTAGCACTCACTAGAATCTAAATGCATATGCAATAGTTAGAACATCTAGTGGCACTTTGATAACCGTATTTTACGACGAGTTTCACCCCTCTTAATAGTACGACTATCTATCCTAAATACGATCACACTTGCTAAGTGTCTCGATCACTAAAACAAAGAGCTCCTATCAAATTATACATTTGCCTTGAGCTTTTTATTTTTCTCTTTCTTCTTTTTTATAGCCGAGCACTTGATCATCACCATAGCTATCACCACCATCATGATCTTCATTCATTTGCTCCATCACAATGTGCTAACATGTTTCATGATCACTTAGAACAAAGGATTAGCACTTAGGATTTCATCAATTCACCAAAACCAAAATAGAGCTTTCAGCTAAGGATTGAGAAAATTAGACTAGTGAGATTTTACTTTATAAGAGTTTAAGATTGAGGACATGACTGAACCTGAGGAGGAAACATTTGTCAGAATTGCAGTAGTACTGAATTCTAAAGACAGTTTGCAATCCATTCGCAGGTTGTCGGACAATTTCATTACAGCCAAAGGGGAACCTTGAAACAAACTTTCCATACTACAGCAGTGCAAAACCAACTATTCACATTGTCACTGGAAACATAAACATTCGCTGTCATTTACAGCATACACAACAGATGTTATGTCATGGTATCAAGGCCTGCTGGGCAGTTACAAGAAAAACTGTGGATCATCAAATCATCAGAAGGCGGTAGATATACCTCCATACTCTTTACATTGGTCGGCTACATGATGAAACCACACAACTCATCGTGCTTCCAGAATTTGAAGGAATGGAAGAATTAGCACCTCGGACAAACTAAGTGGCATGCTTCTTCATGGTCTCCTGCCAGACTCCATCGACTCCAAGATAGGGCTGGTGTCCCTCAGGGCAATGCCACCATGGTCTTCTTGTTCATCTTCAGACTGTATAGGTCTTATGTTGATTGAGTTTGCATTACCATTGCTGTGTGTCTCAGCTAGCTGTTGGAAGTATGCGTGTGGCCATAGAGCTGTAAATGAATAGGAACAGGAACATGTAGTAAAATGTGAGTTCAATATCTCATCAGCATATTATAGAGAAGGGCGAAAAAGGTACCATCATTGTCAAAGGGAAACGGGAAGAACTGCAGGTAACAGAATGAAGCAACTGTAAGACCTGAAAAGAAATAAGAGAATGACACTCCATATATGACTTCTGATCATAAAGCGTGTTCTAAATGTTAAATACAAAAGGGCATCAAATAGTAGCAAACCTAAGGTGCCGCCTGCAAAGACATCTTGCCAGTGATGCCAGTAATCATCAACTCGAGAAACCGCCACAAGTGACGCGACAAGTAGAGGCAGAAAAACTAAGCACAGTTTTGCAATGTGACCTTTGCGATCAAAAGCTTTAAGTTTTCCAGCCAAGTACCACGCAAGAAAACCTAGACCAGCAAAAGACCCTGCAGTAGGTGACAAAGAACAGAAACAGATTCATCAATTCACCTTCTGAAAAGGGGAAAAATTAGCATATTATGGCAAACACCCAACAGGAAACCCCCTCAACTGAGAAAGCGTAAACAACCTGCTTGCAAAGGTGATGCATGCCTCAAAATGATATGCTGAAACCAAATGCTGCTAACATGTATAATTCATATAGTTCAAGAATATATAACAAGTAACCAATGCCAAGAGAATCCATTAATATCATGGAAACTGTGTACTGTATGACAAGAATTATCAAAAGGATATATAGCTCAAGAATATATAACAAGTAACCAATGCCGAGAGAATTCATCAGTGGCGGAGCCACAGGGTATGCCGGGTATGCACCGGCATACCCTGCAAGACCGGCGGCAACTGGTATACATAGTAGTATGTATACACTGTATTCGTAAAAACAAAAAAGAAAACATATCTGGATCGCATCACACGCCATCACGGGAGGACGGGAGGCCCATGTGATGCGGCCCACGCGACAATACGCAAGTCCAGACGTTCCAGTACATGCTAAGGTACACGATGTTTCCGGTTCCTATAATTAATCTAATCTCGACCGTAGGACGGAGGACACGCACGCTGCCTGACGGCTGACCCTTAACTGTAGAATAGACAGGAAAGGAGGGAATCACCACACACTGAATGTGGGTGGGGTGCCTTTCATATATAGCTAATATGCATACAAGGAAATTACACATATGGAAAGCTATTCCCTGTACAAGGAAGCAATCCTAGGCTATACATAGAAAGAATCCTAGACTATATATGGCAGCTAGTCTATCTATGGGATTACACTCAATCTATGATTAGTGCAGGATTATACATATCCTAATACCCGCCCGCAGTCGTAGCGGAAGCATCACAGACGCACAGACTGGTCCGAAAGTCAGTGAAGAGCTGGACGGGCAGACCCTTGGTCATAATGTCAGCAAACTGGTGTGCAGAAGGAACATGGAGAACCCTGAACTGTCCCAGAGCGACCTTCTCACGGACGAAGTGGATGTCAATCTCGATATGCTTCGTGCGGCGGTGGTGGACAGGGTTGGCAGCCATGTAGACGGCGCTCACATTGTCACAGTAGACAACCGTCGCTAGCGGAATGGAGATGTGGAGCTCCTGGAGGAGCTGACGCAGCCAGCAGCACTCAGCAACCGCATGGGCCACCGCACGGTACTCAGCTTCGGCACTGGAGCGCGACACAGTCGTCTGTCGCTTGGAAGACCATGAGACCAGGTTGTCGCCGAGGTAGACGCAGAAGCCTGAGGTAGAGCGACGTGTATCCGGGCAGCCAGCCCAGTCGGCATCGAGTAGGTCGTGTGAGCGGGATCTGAGGCCGGAGCTCAAGTGAAGGCTGCAGATAGCGAGCCCTTGACATAGCGCAAGATGCGCTTGATCGCGCATGAAGATGCGGCTCACGAGGGTCATGCATGAAGAGGCGGACACTCACATACAAAGATAGGCCAGTGCGGCGCGTCGAGTGAGGGCCTTTGGAGAGCTCCCGCTGAGCTCCACGTACTCGAGGGGTTGGCGACGGGAGCGCCCTCAGTGGAGGACAGCTTGGTCCGGGCATCCACGGGGTAGTGTCGGGTGGCATTCGGACATGCCGGACGTTGAAGAAGCTCGACGGCAGATCGCCGTTGGGATAGGAACAAGCCATCGCTGTCCCGCGTCACCGAGATGCCGAGGAAGTCTTTGGAGGTCACCAAGGTCCGTCATGGCGAACTCCAGAGAGAGTCGGGAGGCGACGTGCAGGAGTAGAGCCGGTGACGACGCGGTGACAATGATGTCATCAACGTAGAGGAGAAGATAAGCCATGTCATCTCCAGCCTTGTAGATGAACAGGGAGGCATCCGACTTGGATGTGGTGAAGCCGATGCTGCTGATGAAGGCGGAGAAGCGCTGGTTCCAAGCTCGCGGCGCCTGTTTAAGTCCATACAAGGACTTCTGCAGCAAACAAACGGAATTAGGAGGAGCAGCGAGGTCGACGAAGCCTTTGGGCCGCTTTCGCGATGAGACCGTCTCCTCGAGGTTGCCGTGGAGGAAGGCATTCTTCACGCCGAGTTGGCGGATAGGCCAATCCCGGACGCAGACAATGCCGAGCACGGTGCGGATCGTGGCGGCTTGACGACCGGGTGAAGGTCTCGTCGTAGTCGACGCCGGCCTCTGGGAGAAACCGCGACGACGACCAGTAGCGCTTTTGTGCCGGGCGAGGGAACCGTCGGAGTGGAATTTGTGCTTGAAACACCACTTCCAGTAACAATGTTAGCACCGGGGGCGAGGGACAAGGCGCCAAGTGCCATTGTCGATCGCGCTTTGTACTCATCGGCCATCGCAGCGCGCCAATTAGAATTCGGCGAGGGCGCCTGCGATAGTTCGCCGGGACCGGCGAGGCGACGGAGGTGGTGAAGCCGTAGTCTTTGACGGCGGTCTTGCAGAGAGCCGGTCTGCGTGACCGTGTCACTGTGCCGGTCGGTGATGCAAAGCAATTTCTTTGGGTCGCCGCAGTGGCGGAGCAGATGGTCTTTGGAACCGCGAAGACATCCGCGAAGGGCGACGACCGCGGTGGGCGGTGCAGCAGCCACAGGAACCGGCGCCAGGGGAGCCACGGGGTCAGCCGTAGGGGCCACGACCTCGATGGTGGTGCATCAACCGCAGGAGCCACGTTCGGGCGCCGCAGAACTCGGCCGCGGCGAAAGTGAAGACGATGCCCAAAACGCTGGGCGCCGGTGGAGCGGGTGGCGCAATTGCCCGCCCAGCAGTGAGCAGCGGTGGGTGCCCGCCCGTAGAGGCAACCAGGGGCCCGGTGGATAACAATTTGGGTCCGAGAGCGCAGGGCTAGATCCTCGCTGGTTTTGTGGGGAGGCGGAGGAGTGCTCTTTGTTGTCGTCGAGGAAGAAAGTCCCGCATCGAAATTCAAGTGAGAAGGCGGCACGGGAGGCCGCCGATGGTGTCTTCTTCGCGAATGGGAACACCGACTCGCCGAATATGACATGGCGGGAGATGATTATCCGCGAGTATTCATGTCGAGACAAGCGGTAGCCCTTGTGTGTGAGGATGGGTATCCGAGGAAAACACACGGAGCGGAGCGGGAGCGAGTTTGTGGGGGAGGTGGCGGTGAGGTTTGGATAGCAAAGACACCCAAGACACGGAGGAGGAGGAGTAATCTGGGAGAGTGCCATAGAGAATTTGATGAGGTATTTGGTGGTGGATGGGAGGAGGAGGGACGCCGATTGAGGAGGGTGGTGGTTGTGGTGAGAGCCTCATTTCAAGGAAGGAGGCATGAAGGCATGGAGGAGCATGGTGCGATGATGGTGTTGTTGATAGTGCGGAGTATGCGTTCGGCCTTGCCATTTTGCGAGGGACGATATAGGGACAGGGGAGAGGCGAGGGTAGTGCCCTTCTGTCTTTGAGGAGTGTGGCGGTGGCGTGGTTAACGAACTTGGTGCCATTATCGCTTGAGAGGATTTGGGTGTGGTGCGAATTGTGTTGTAGCGTAGACAAAGAATTCGACAAGATGCCGGTGCACCTCAGTTGTTGGCGCTTGATGGGAATGTCCAGCGAATAATGGGAGAAATCATCGAGTATGACGAGATAATATTTAAACCGGAGTTGCTAGGCACGGAGATGTCCACACATCACAATGTAGTAAATCAAATGGGGCACTCATTACGAGAGGTGGAATGGCTAAATGGGAGTCGCATGCGTGCTTGCCAAGTTGACATGCATGGCGAGAGGCAAGGCGAATGCTTATTGTAGGAGATGGCCGACATGTTAAAAGAGAGTGGCGAATTTGGATGGGCGGGGTGGCCGAGGCGGTGATGCCACAGGGACGACGGTGGTGGCAAGGCTGCAGGAAGTGGACGGTGTGGTGGGGGAAGGTGTAGAGGTCGCCACCACTATTGCAAATGAAAGAGTCACGCAGCGCTTGGGTCTGCTTTGGTCCTTGACAAAAAAAAACAAGAGTCAAATTCAACGGAACAAGCATTGTCACGGGTGAATTGATTTGAACCGAAAGGAGGTTGCGTGACTAGAGCGAGGGCAACCGAACATCATGAAGATGAAAGGTAGAGTGCGGGAGTGTAATCTAGATGGTCCATGACAGGTGATGGGAATGGTAGTGCCATTGCCAACCGTGATGCCAGAAGGAGGGAGGCGGGACAGGAGTATACCATCCGAGGATGACATGTAGGCAGTGGCACCGGTGTCGAAGACCCAGGGGGAGGAGCCCTGAAGCGACATCTGGTTCGAGAGGCAGATGATGAGGCTCTGATCGATCCCGCCCTAACTTCTTTGGTGAGGAGGCGAGAGGAGTTCGTGGCGCGGAGAGGCGAAGCGGGGCAAAGGCCGTGTGAGCCTGGGCCGGGGGAGGAGCCCCGAGCACGCCAGAGCCGCCCCACGCTGGTGGACGCCATGGCTGCTGATGCGGCGCAGCAGTCCAGGGCGGGTAGCAGAGCCACGGAGCCGCCGATGCAGCAGACTTTGGGGCGCCGCCCTTGCCCTTCTTCTTCCAGAGGCCATTGCCGCCGCCCTTCCCGCCGCTGCTGGAGCCGCCACCATAGCCGGTGAAGCTGCCGCCGGAGGCGCTGGAGACAGTGCGGCAGGGAGTGCCGCACGCGGCATGGAACGCCGTCTAGGCTGCCACGGTGCCCTCGTTGGCAAGGAGGAGCTCCTTGAGGACGAGCTTCTCGCGCGTGGTGGCGAAGTCCGGCAACGGGTGCGAGTCGGCGATGTTGTCGGCGGCGGTCTTTGAAGCGGGGTTGAGGCAGCAGAAGTTGAGGACGAGCTCCGAGTCGGTGATGACACGACCGACATCACGAAGTGCGTCGGCGGTGGCCTTCATCTTTTGGGCGTAGTCGTTGATTTGGAGTCGCATACAGGTCATGGAGTAGAACTTCGTGACCTGGGAAGATGGTATGCTGGGCCTTGTTGGCCTCGAAGAGGCGCCTGATGGCGAGCAAGAGGGCACGCGCGGTCTGATCTGGCGCCGTCGCCAGGCCGAGGACATCCGGCCCAACAGAGCCAAGGAGCCAACTGCGAACGCAGGCGTCGGCGATGTTCCAGGCAGGGTCGGGAGAGCCAGCTTCCTCCGTGATGTGGGAAAGAAGGCGAATTTCCCCGCAGAGAGAAGTGAAGAACGGTTCCCCCCTTGGTTGAAGTTGGGCCTCGTCGGTTCAGGTCACCGGATGTGGTTCTTGACATTGATCGTTGCATAGGGGGCAACGAAGAGGCAGGGAAGCAGAGAGGAGCCCAGTGGTGTCGTGGTCTTTGGAGGAGGAGGAGCTGGTGGCGAGATCCGATCGTCATGGTGACCACGATGGGAGGAGGGGGGACAGCAGAGGGGGGGGCGATGGGAAGGGAAGGAGGATCGGTTAAGTCGATACTATGTAGAATAGACAGAAAGGAGGAATCACCACACATTGAATGTGGGTGGGGTGCCTTTCATATATAGCTAATATGCATACAAGGAAATTACACATATGGAAAGCTATTCCCTGTACAAGGAAGCAATCCTAGGCTATACATAGAAAGAATCCTAGACTATATATGGCAGCTAGTCTATCTATGGGATTACACTCAATCTATGATTAGTGCAGGATTATACATATCCTAATATTAACGCAGTGACGCATACGGTGCCTCGCCTTGCAGATGCCGCCTCCATACTGGATCTTTGGATTGGATCGGAGGCTCATCTCATCTGTAGTTTGCACGTCCACAGCAGTAAGGCTTACCATCTTGATTCGCTATTTCATTTAGGAAAAATTTAATCTTTGCTCTTCGGTTTCTTCTACTCTTCATCTTTCTACAGAAAATTATTGTTTATTTTCATAGCTATTTGCTAACATCACAAATAGCGAATTGTTTAATTATTTGGCATTGTTTATCAGTATGTCTTTTGAACTATTTATATTGTATTTAGTGGATGGTTTCAACTGAATCCATGAATTTAAGCCTCGTCATGTTACTTAGTGCATATGTACCGAATCACGTTGTCAATTTTGTAATTATTACTGAATTGCTAAAATGGATTTACCGAATTGGATATGAAATTTTTTTGGACGGCATACCCTAAACTAAAATCCTGGATTCGCCACTGGAATTCATCAATATCATGGGAACTGTGTACTGCGTGACAAGAATTATAAGAAGGAAAATCTCTGATTGTCAGACATAGCTATTCATTAAGATTTTGGAGAACTGTATTAGGAAGAAAAAACAACAATTCCAAGAGGGCACAGGGCAGTAGCTAAAGTAATTCTGAATACATAAATAACATGAAAGGAAAGAAAATGCAGGATATCCTCAAACGAAAGGAGAGTTACAATCATAGTCCAACAGTGTTTTCAGGTAAAGGTATTCATGTGGAGAAACAATTGCATCAGCACTGCAACCAAATCATTGATCTTTGTTTATTCATTGTTTAGTTGTTTACCGATGTTCTTTCTTTTCTTATTAGTGAAGTTGCAATATTATACTCCCTCCGGTCCATTTTATCTGGCGCAAGTTAGAATGACACGGTCTCCTAGATTACACTTTGACCATTCATTTGCTTTATATTATATTATTTATGCTTATAAACTTAAAATCATTGGATAATATAATTCCTTACAAATCTAATCATATAAAGTTTGTATTATAATAGTTAAAAATTATTAGCCCAATTATTGGTCAAAGTTTTTAAAGTTTGAATCTTGCTATGCGCGTGCTTCAGATAAAATGGTCCAGAGGTAGTAATGTATTACCTTTCAATAAAAAAAAGTTGAACCACTGACAAAGTAATTAACAAGTACATGACACAAACGAAATAACTAATGTACTAGTTTGATTAAAGATTTGAGATTGCGTCACAAATTTCCTAAGTTTTTCCTCTTAGTAGGAACTCACTCTGCAAAGTTCTTATATAGGGGAGTGCTCAAACAAAACCATTAACCAGCAATAGAATATAAAAGATAAACGGTGACTGAACTCAGCTGAAGGATTAGTACATCATAAAGTATTCAAAATAACAAGTGTTTCATGTACAGAAGCAAGTATTGTCAAACCTCATAAAGTTCTCACAACTACATCCCAAGATAGTGGATCAATCAACCACTACAACATGAGTTCTCACAACTAGATCTAGTGGATCAATCAACCACTACAACATGAGTTCTCACAACTAGATCTCAAGATAGTGGATCAATCAACTACTACAACATATCAAAATAACCACAAGAAGCATAATGGACATAATATACCAAGTAATTTCATTTCTTACATGAAGAATGCCCACTTGGGAAGCTCTTATGACCTTCCTTGATGACACTCTTTTCTCCATGGCAAATCACACCGGTGGTGATATTATCATAATTCTGGATAACAAATATCAGATTTAGTGACTACGAGTTTAAACTTTGAACTTAGAGTAGGTCAGCAGTATGAACTTGCATAAGAAAAAATGGCACTGATGGAAGGATTTACAGGTTTGCCATCAGGAAAACAACGCCAAAAGAAATCTGGCCGAGGGCGGCCAACACCATCCTTAATTGCATCAGTGATCACAGCAGTTATAAGCACTGAATATAAGATCCCTGCATAATTTTTTTTAAGTTCAGCAAAAACTAAAACTGTCCATTGACAAATAACATCTTTAGAATGTCAGGTACCTAGTATGCCATGGTGTAAATCATAGACATTTTTCTTTTTGAAGTAAATGACGCCAAAGATGACCCAGGGTAGCATGATGGCAATCAGCTGTAATCAAGAAAAAAATAACATGCCTAAGGACATATTGTGCATAGCACAGTTAAATCAATATTTGAAATCAAAATATGGAAGTACCAGAGCAAGAACATACTGGAACAGCCCAAAATGGGATTGTGTTGCCCTTGAGGGGATAACTCAAGTCAGTCATCATGTCGCGTCCAACAAAGCGGTGAAAGGGTTCAATTATGTTTAACAGTCCATCAAGTACAGCAAGACATAAAAGTATAATCCAGTCATACATGTGTACTCTTGCCACTTTGGTGCCATGGGACTGTATAGAGTGGCATCCTAGCTGGATATCAGGCATTCTCCCCTAGAATTGAAAAGCAAAAGAAAGAACTTTGTAGTTAGCAAATAAAAGATTGAGTCATGCATGGACTGAAGATGACATGCGAGGAGATTATAAGAAAAAAAAAAGAAGGGGGTCGTGAAACATTTCAAGCAGAATGTATTCTCATGTGGTCCAAAATTTGTTACTTAAGTGTTAAGAAAGAAAAAACATTATCCCATAAAGCTTGTATTGTGCAGAAAACAGAAACTCTTTAAACATTTACAATGAATTGAAAAGATCCTAAAGAGGGCAAGGTCAAAAAAAGACCAAAGCTATTCAAAAGAAAAAAGAATCAAGTGGTAATGTCCATTTTCAGTTTAGTAGAAATGAAGGACTATGTCTAGCTCCAGGTAGTGGCACGTGGGACAGCAACATTTCCATGGCTCAAACATTGATAACATCCCCTTCAACAGAATATGCAGCATAGTACGCAGTGGATGAAACTTAATGGAATATTGGTGTATATTACGATATAAATGCTATTTCTAGCTACTCAGAACAAAGTAATCCATTTAACTGTTTAACCAAAAAATACAACATCATGATTCGCCCTGGGCAAATTTAACCGAGAACCGAAAACCGAACCGAAAGAACCGGAACCGAAAAATTCGGTTCCTGCTATTGAGGAACCGAAATAACCGAAGAAAATTCGGTTCCTACTCTCGGTTAACCGAATTAACCGAAAGAACCGAATTACATGAATTATACTTCACTTACTTGTATTTGTAAGATTATGTTTGGTTTATGTGTAGTGTTTTATATTTGAACTGCTATATATTTGTGTTATTGTATTGCTATTGTTTTTTTATACATTATTATTATGAAAAATGAACATAGTGTTGCATAAATTTGCCTTACAACAGGTATATTTATTGTTGTCCCGAGGTCTTCTGAAAAAATTCGGTTAGTTTGGTTAGAACCGAAACCGAACCGAAATAACCGAGAACCGAAATGCTCGGTTCCTAAATTTTTTTGGAACCGATCGGTTCCCATTTTCCAGGAACCGAATTTCATCAATAACCGAGAGAACCGAACCGAGAACCGAACGCCCACCCTTAATCATGATGGCTTCAGCCAAATGTAAAGGTGTTGCAAATATAGAGTGATTCGAAATAATATAACCCACATAGATCTACATATAACTGCAGCTCAAAGCATTGCAGGAGTAACTCTCTCGTGTTGCAAATCCCCCAAAAAAAAACTGAATGAACAGAAAAGGTTTGAGTTGGAAAATGCACAGGTCCCATTATGCAGAAGCTGAGCACTGCTAATTCTGCCACTGTAATCATAAAAAAAAATTACACTAGCGACTAATGACTCCACAAAAGATTAGAGTAATTTTCATACAAATTGCAGACAAGTTCAGCAACAAAAACATCAAGACTAGCCGCAAAACACTAGTTGACACTAGGTGCTGATTCCCGTTAAACTAGACAAAGATTTGTTACTGATTTGCCAGTTAGTAACATTTCAGCATATACTCCTGAATGAATACAAAGAAAATTAGAAAAAAGGTAAGGTTTCTCTGAGCCCAGAGAACGTACCAACTCACTCCCGCCCTGATAAACTGTGCTGGTTCAGATGGATTCTCGGACGCCACAGCCGCTCTACAAGAACCACTCGGAACGGACAATTAATCAGCGAAAGGAACGGAACCTCGACGAATTTCGCCGCAACTAAAGTGGAGGAACGCTCGGAGCCCTCTCACTTACCTCCCAAATCAGGGTATAAACCGCCGTCGCGAGGTGGTCCGCAACGGATTCCGCCGGAATAGAAGGGACCAAGAACGAAGTCGGCCACTGGCCGCCGATATCAGGGAACCTGTACTTCGTTTCAAAAAAAAAATACAAAGAACCCGATCGGGTTATCGGCACAAGAATCTTGTAAAGAGGAAACCTTTTTTATTAAAAAAAAGTAAAAGAAAAGGAGAAGGAATTAGGGGGTGGACCTGCGTCAGAACGGAACGGGGCCCTGAAACATCTGCCAGTCCGCCGGAGCTGGGCACGGCTGGCTTGGCTCACACTAAGCCACTAGGGATGGGGTTCTTTTTCTTTTCTGAAACAGGTAGGGTTAGAGATTGGAGAGGAAGAGACGCGGCCGTGTTTGGCCGGGCTCCGCTCAGCCTGCTCTTGTGCGAGAGCCGGAGCCGGAGTGCCGAAGCCTCATTTTGTGGCTTCGCTTGCCGTACTCAAAAAGAGCTCCTCCCCACCGATCAAAGCACCGGAAGGGCTCCTCTCCCACCAGCGTTTGGTGCGGCTCCGCCACCGAAGCCGGAGCCGGAGCTATGCGGGAGCCACACCAAACACACCCGAAGACTGAGAGTGGAGACAGCAGCAGCAAGTAGTAGGGACGGGAACTCGGGAGGAGATGGTTAAGGGCTCTGATTTGCGTTGGTTCCACTTGGAACCGGCAGGATGGATTGGGCGGTGGGCCTGTCTTTGTAAGCACAACGATAGCCGGGGAAAAAAAAGTCTTCCGCGTTCATCGCCAGACTTTTGTTACCGACATTTTGGGTTGATGGTTTTAGACTGCATCGCTGGGTGTGTTGATGTTGGAAAGATTGATGGCCGAAAGATGCAGCGTGCCACAGGTGCTTTCGCCGGACATTTACACTACAACCCGCTGTTAAAGTTGAGTACCCATCGTCGAATGCGACAGTTACTCCCTCCGTCTATGAAGAATGTAATTTTTTCTCTTATGAAAGTGATATAGTTTTAAATTTAATTAAATTTATTAAAAAAATATTGCTTCATCTATTCTAATGGATTATCTAGTTGTTGGAAAATTTTATAACAAGAGACATTCCCCACCCAGATAATTAACAATAACCCCATAACCATCCCAGCGATGTTGAAAAACAAAAGAGCAGAATGTGACCAGAGTTCATGGATGAAGAAAAAGCTAAAGTTCAGATACATGAGGTTATGAGCTTTGATCCGGAGTCAATCATGGGATCATCATGAGGCGTGCTTAGTTCTGAGCAAGCTTGTCATTGCCTCACCACATGCAACAAGAACCTTGCTAGGTCACGAGAGACAATTTTGGCTCACCTAAGCAAGGAAAATCTTGCCTGCACGGAAGCCAAAGACAGCTAGCTACACATCCAAACACTTTGCTCACTTCAATTTCTAGCTCATTTAGGCAAAACAGTGGTGGACAAAGAATCCAAGCATACCCTTAATTCCCAAGTAGTACAGGCGTAAGCACCAACCACAAAAATCTTAGAGCACCGTCGGCAATGGTCATGGCAACGGCGCACATGTCAAGGCACCATCCATGGGCGGATCTATATACACTGTATAGGGTGCGGGTGCACTCACAAAAATATCAAAAAACGGTGATTATGATCAAAGTTTCACCATATTCGCACCCATACGATAAAATTCTATACTCCCACGAGGCAAGCGCACCTACCTCACATTTACTCTAGCTCCGCCCCTGGCACCATCACGTTTCCTGTTGCCACCTTTCCTTTTGTCTACTATATAGGCCAATTGGCAAATAATGTGGATCTCAGCTCAAAGGGAATATCAAAGCCAAAAAACAAGGATCAAATCCCTCGTGTCCCGACTTTCCAAACCTCTTGCTGTCTTGTTGCCTTGCTGGGCATCATCATTCATTCTTCAGAAAAAGGATACTACTAGAAACAAAAGCCTATGCGGAGTCAGTCACCATGTGCACAGACACTAAGCACAATGCTTTGTTGAACATCCATAAAGTCTATTGAGCCTCTGACAGACTGCTGTAATCAAAGGCACATGCAATGTTCGGATGTTCCTCTTTACTTATATTTACTTCCAGAATGATACCACAGAAATCTACAGTTTTAACACAAACTTGCATGTCAACAAAGTATCCACCTAAAAGTTTAAAAAACAACAAACAAGAGGTTACATCGTAGTAAGAGATCCATGGTACAACTTCTTTGACCTCGGCTTCTTGTTCCTGGGAGTACATGTAAACCTACTGTAATTTTCTCAACCTTTTTTCCACAAGATTAATGTTTCCTCAAAAAGGGAAAGAGAGAAGCACTAACTGACGCTTGTTACAAGGATACATCAGATAGCTCATGTATTTGTTTTCTCCAACACGCACGAGAGCTCGTGCATTCACCTATTTTCTGGCCATTGATTGAGGAGACCATGGAAAAGATTGTTCAGCTCAACTTAAAAACCAGAGATGAACATGTTGTTAAATTACTCGGTGTTAGCATCATCATATAATCAAATCAACAACCATCATGGCGAGAGAGGAACTCTATGATACATGGATACACATCATCGGTCGCCTGCGTAAAACAGAAATGATATCAGTGCTGTGCAAAACAGAAATCGTTTCAGTGATGTGCAAAGATAGGTCCCATAAAACATGCCAAAATTCAATTTGGACTCCTCATGCTAGGAGTCATCAGACGGAGTACATACCAGTTGACCTCCAACCAAGTCATAATGTGCATAATGTGGGCCTTGTGGCTTTCCGAACACCCTATAGTTCACCTTGTGCTTCGGAATGAGTTTCACAGATTCTAACAAATGGGAATTCAGACCAAACTGAAATTAGCAATCTACATAACAAAGTAATTAAGCTAGCAGAAGACAAAAGCCATGCACTACCTACCATAAACAGCCTCGGGAGGGCAGATTAGATCTTTATCTCCAGCCAATGCAAGGACAGGAGTCTGACACTCTTGCAAATGATCCTTATACGAGAACGTTCCATTTCGGTTGCACAGCCCACCTTCCCTGAATGCGGTTGTAAGTTGCAGGACAACCTTTGCGGGCACTGTACCTGCAAACCGTACGATTATATCAGCTTCCATAAACATATATGGATCATAACTATCAGAAGTAGCGCATGACTAATTATATGGATCCAGAGGTTGTACAAATGCAGAAGAGAAATCCTATTACATGAAGACAAGACAGTGCGTTATGAAAGACTACTTACAAAAGTTGTTGGAAACAAGCTTAGACAGCAACTCCAGATGCATCATGTCCTGAGCTGATATTTGAGGATTAAGCCAGGAAAAAGATATGGTGGACCAGATGCCCACGGATATGCTGCTGCCAACAACATACCCAATGGAACAGCAGGGACATTAAGGGCTTGTGCAGGATGAGCCTGATAACGAACACATTAGCCTATTTTCAATTATAAGAAAATATTGAATCAATTAAATAGCAATGCTCAGAGAAATCATCTAAGCTGCCAGTTTGTTTACTCACAAGAGGCAGTAACAGCTTCAGCGATGAATTGGATGTTGTATAGTCAACAGAAGAAGCCAAAGTGACAATAGCTGCTAAATTTGACGAAACTCCTTCAAAACCTTGAAGATTGGGGAAAATCAAATAAGATATGGTGATACAGAGAAAGGCATAAACTCTAAAGAATTATGATATTTCTCAACAAATGGACAGCTTAACTAATATACACAAAAGATGCTTGCTGGCTCAGTTAATTAAATACTCCTAGAAATACACATTTGATGTGTGCTTCAGAACAAAAGGGATAAAATGTGAAGGAGACAGGAGGCTGCATGAAAGCTAAGATAAAGAGCATTATCAGTGCCTCACCAGATCTTGACAGCATTGCATATAACAAAATTCCCCCCATTGAGTGTCCAATGGCAAGCAACTTCCCCTCTTTTGCTTTGCTGTGTTGTCTAATATACTCCACCTGTACAAATAGATGGTAAACTTGACAATGTTCCATTAAAAAGAATCATGATTACACTAATAGAAATGAAATCTGCCTGCAGTTTGCCAGGTAACAATTTAGATAAGAGCACTTCCACCCACCGCAGCAGGTATATCCTCCTCTACGTAATGGTCGAAGTCCCAATTATATTCAGAAGTCAGATCCATCTGTGCTGCTACAAAACGCTCCCATGAATCCAACTGGTCCTGAAAATTCTTCAGAAGACGTAGACTTTCTTATCTCACTGGACCAATAATGGTAGAGCTCTCTACCATTTCTGAGAGAACAGAAACTTTTTCTGTGATCTCATGAAAATTTCCATTAATTACAGCCTCTTCCATGAGTTTTGAGATTCGATCAAAAAAATTAGAAAGCTCAGCAAGTAAAGGCGGTTCATCCAAAGCAACTATTCCAAGGTCATCACAATCACTAGCATAGCCACCAAAACTCTGAAGGGACGTAGCCTCGAATGTACTCTGTTTATTAAGCGGCTGAATACCACCAGAGACATCCTCAAAAGTGACTGAACCAGATGCAGCAGAATCATCACAGTCACGCATGCTAAGACCAGCACCTCTTACTTCAACTATCCACATATCAAATCCTTGGCTAGACATGTGCTGGGCAAATGAAGCCTGAAGGTAAAATTAAAAAAGCAAGATAAAAGATATGCTAGACAAGACTAGTCTAAATAACTTGTTAGAAGAATACAGTGCCATTGCTGCCTACATATTTCCGCTGTGTGCACACTTGACAAAATTAAACAAGGTACAGAAATAACGGGGAAAAGAACAATTTTTAGCTTCTTTAATCCTATCCCTACATTATTTCCTCAAACTCTTATTTATGAGTATCAATGATAATGACTCAAACCAAAAAAAAAAACAGGACACGAGATGGCAACAGTGATGCAAGCAAATAAAAACACAGCATTTCTCTCATGCGTTGAATGCAAAGGGTTAAGTATAATTAATTTGGCCATTGAAAAAATGAAGGGCAGGCCTGGTGCAACGGTGAGAGCTGTCTCACTGAGTCACTAGGTCGTGGGTTCGAAGCAGCCTCTCCGCAGATTTTTGTGGGTTCGAAGCAGCCTCTCCGGCACTGGGTCTGCCCCCCTTTATGGGACAGGTGGAACAAAAGAAGAGTGATGATAGGCCCTGGGGTAATTTTTCCAGTTGCAGCTTGATGGTTTTTATCATGAACTGATGAAAAATTAGAAAACATTACCAGACTCACCAGCCAGTTATAATAATGCATTTACTGACTAAATTTAGGATAAAGAAAAACTTAAGGAACCACAAAGAAATGAAATTTGAATCATGGCTCTCTTTGCTCCAGTTGACAAACAAAAAGGTCCTGAAGTCCCTAGCCGGCCCCTCAGAATTCCAAACTAAAACTAAATGAACACTTAGCAATCATATTCCAAGCATTTAGCTAAACAACACATGCAGATCACATTTCAGGTTCGTAACAACCGTCATCCTTTTTGTTTTGACATGTTTAATTTGATTCGAAGCTAATAACAAGAGGAACACCAAGCTCACCCCGGGTGAGAGGTCGAATCCGACGGCGTTCGTCCCGACTCCCGACAGCAGCATCAGCGGGTGATTCCTGACGGGAGCCTGCACGCACGCAACGCCAAATCAAATCAAACACCATTTTCGCTGTGACAAAGAAACCAAACCAAACCGAAGCGAAGCACACATACATTGCGCGGCGGCCTGTACCGACAGAGCGCGATTCGCCACCCGGCGCCGTCGACGAAGGCGTAGTGGAGTCGTCGGCGGTGCAAGCGGCCGGCTTGGCCGGCCGCGAGGGGTCGGAGACCGAGAGGGGGATCGGGATCGAGTCCGCGCGGATTGGGAGGAGCACACAGCGGCGGCGGCGGCAGCGAGAGGGGAAGGGAGACTCGCCGGAGCTCCGTCGAGCGGCGAGGGTGGCGGTGGGGATCGGCTGGAGAAGCATGGCTGCCGTTCCGGGCTTGGGGGCCGTCCCGTAGTCCCGTCGGTCAACGTGATTCTGCTTCCCGGTGCCAACAGCTGAAGCTGGAAACGGCTGGTATTATCAGCCTGAAAACGGCTGAAGCTGGAAACCAGGTGCTACAGTAAATCCAGCAAAACAATCAGCTCCGTCCAGCCAACAGCTGCAGCTGGCAGCCAGCAGCCGAAACATGAGCCATGTAAGCCATTTACTCGTTTAAAAAAAATGACGCCCACACCTCATCCATTCAACCGATGGCGCCAAACCAGAGGGCATTTAAATTACAGTACAACATAATTCAATACATTAGTTGAAATAACAGTTTGTTACGGGCTACTGACAGTCTATTAGAAGCTACTCAACTAGCAGTTCAGTACATATAACAGGTCCCTACAAGCTATTATGAATACACAGTGACATACAACAATTCAAATTACATACAACAGTTCAAATTACACTTCTTGTGCTCGCATTTTTTATTGGATTTGTCTCGGTTTATTCTTCACTTGCTGATTCGGTTGGTGTGCTGCAAAGAAACAGAGCATAGATTGTTGTCAGAATCCTGGAATTGTCACGCTTAATCAATAGAACAAAGCCAATTAGAAAAATGTCCTGAACTTCTAATGCTCATCATGCGTAAATTTGATAGTTCTAACAGACAGGAGTGGTCAATGGCAAAGGATTCAGAATTCTTTCACACCCAACGCAGATCATATGATGGGCGTGAACATAGCTAACTAAAGTTGTCCTGTTCGTTTGGAGGAATCTGGAGGAATCTGGATGAATCTGGAGGAATTTATGAGAGGGAAATATTGTTCCAGATGAAAAAAAGAAGCGAATCAAGCCGGGTTTAAGGGCACGCGAACGGGACCACTAGTGTACGCGTATCAGGAATTAAAAACAGCCACCTCACTGGGTTTACGATGGATGTGTATTACAAACCGAAAAATAATCATTCTTAATGAAAAGACAACAGAATCATGGAACCAAAGGAAAGATATCTAGTAAACCATTAGAGGCAGCAATTTTTTTTCATGTGATCAGTAAATATAGTACCAACAGAGGTAACCTTCATGTTCTAGTTTTTACTACAGAACTAACAGGAGGGATAAATGTGCAAAAGAACAAACAAGCTCTGATGTAATTTCGGGTTAGTAATAATATGTATGCAGAATGAACTGATATGATAGCAACATGAAGGAAATAAAAATCAACTTAGGCAAATTGGTAGTCACAGTTCGTCAACATATATGGGACGGCTAACTTTAATTCAAGTACATGGCATCTTAATTTTAATTATCTTTGCTGCATCATTGTCCCCAGAGAACCACAGATATGTACTCCCTCACAGCGGACATAGTGGTATTAGCATTGATCTGAACCCATTCCGACGGTGGGTATGTAGGCGAACCAACTCCTATATCACGATTCCGTAAAAAATTGTGCATTGCAAAGCATGACATAATAATCATTTTCTGCTTTTCCCTATGGTAGAACGGCACCCCATGCAATATGTGCCAACGGGCTTTGAGAACCCCAAATATCCTTTCAACGACATTGCGGAGGCTCGAATGAGTAAAGTTAAATTTCTCCTGACGAGATAATGTGTCCATGCCTACACCCCTAAAATCGTCCAGATGGTACTTTATATTTTTTAATGGACCCATGTAGCCACTCTCCAGCGCACATCCAGCGTCCACCAGATAGTAGCGTCCTGCAACACATGCACCATTTCCATAATTCATTTTTGTTATCTTGAAAAGCAAGTTCAAAGATGGTTCAACTATTGCATGACACAGATCACTAACCTTATGGTGGATGCGTGAAGGTTGGTTGCCGCCAACATTCTCTTAGTACGGCCATGTCATGCACTGACCCCGCCATCTCGGCCCCGACAAACGTGAAGCGCATATCCATGTCCACAATGGCACAAACATTAATTGTGACATCTCGTTTCCTGTTTATGTAGTCAAGTTTGACCTCCTTGTTCACCGTCACTTTAATATGAGTGACATCCAACGCCCCGATGCACCCATCAAAAAATGGTGCATATGTTAAAAACTGAGCGTGCACTCCAGCATAACTTCTATCAGTTGGAACTAGAATACTGTCTGCCCATCTACAAATAACCTCGACCACATGAGTAACCTTCCTACTAACTGTATCTAAAGACCTTTCAAATCTATCCCTGCTCCTTCTAGCTGCCTCGTTGTGAGCACAAGTCCACAAATATAATCCTAAAGTTTCTATGGATCATGTCTGTTGTGTACCCTTCAATCCATACTCCAGTAAGATGTTGTGCAAATGCAGGAAAGCATCAGGAGACATATGCAAGTTCTCTTTGCACTTTTGTTCGTTTTGCAGATTCAGTTGCATCCACTGTCGCCCGCTCATCTTTGGGAAGGGGAGGGCAGGGTTCACCACTGGAGCTGCATTTGTACAGAGATATTTGTTAGATCATGCAGAGATATTTGTACAGCACCACCACTTAAGTTTAGCTTTCCCTGAATGTATAGAGATATTTGTTAGATCATGCAGAGACAAATAGAAATACTGACTGCTGAATTGTACATACAAGTAAAAATCAGTGACTCACAAAAGGGATACCAAGAAGCCTCTGATTAGCTACAGCAACAACCTGGCAATATCCATAAGTACAGTTAAGTCTAGAGTTGTGCTTCAGCTATAAGTACTATTGAAACTGGAAGACCAAGAACTTACAGAGAAAGCCTAATTTTATGATCTACAGAGGTAACCTAGAACACCAATTAATAGAGTCTTGTCTTGTTAGGTAATTTAGGTCAACCTACAACCAAGATATGTACATCACAGAACACAATTTATTTCGATTAGGGGAAAACAACGAGCTCACAATGTTCAGGCCACATGGCACAACAAATCGATGCAACTTAACCAAACAGTGTCCAGGAAACATTACAATGACAACCTCAAACTAAACGAACATAGGGCAAACATACATCCTCAACATGCACAGTTCGAAACATAAAACTAGATAGACTGCCATAGAAGGAACGTTGGTTGGGATAATGACTACTTCGATCTGGCTCTCAGAACCTCCTAGCAGGCCTCAATCAAGTTCATGCGGCCCTCTTTCGTTTCCATGCTCAGAAAGTTCCTACGGTCCACTGTGTTCTTGAAAACAACTAAAGCATGAGCAAACGTAGGATCAGACTCGGGCAAACCATCTTGTTTCAAAATCTGCTTCACTTTGTCCATCTCCTCTTCGTGCTTGCTTGACCCGGCCTTCTACTGCGTATGGTTTTTAATGATCTGGGTCAGGTCGTTAAGGCACTCATCAATGGAACCACTCTTCTTACTGGGAGGGCTGCTGACAGAATGTTCTCTAGTGATTCTCTTGGAGGACTGGCTGACATTGTGTGTACCTATAGGCTCCTAGGACATGTGTTGAGTTTCATTGCTAGGAGTACTCGGTGTCCTCTCGTGATGATGTCCACTAGAAGCGAGCAACGTGCCCCTTTCATGGGGGGGGTGTCCCCAAAGAGTGACCAGTAGGTCAAGGCATTTGGGAACTTGGTCCGCTGCGCAGCCGATTGGCTATTTTCCTGCACGTTTGCCATGGGTCCACATGTTAGGACGAATAGAATGGAACTATCCCTAATACTTGGTAGTCAGCGGGTTAGAAAGAAATAGGTGGAAGTTAGTACCCCATTGCCACCCTCAAAAAATGAGGGGTCAACTGCGACGCCTCCTATATTTGGGTCACGCCCTAGGCTAGTGTGGGTTTGAAGGTCGCGCCAAGCGAAATATGTCTGCTTCAAGTCGTTCAACTTGTTCTGCAGCTGTTTATTGTCATAACCCAACTTTGTTTCCTTTTCGAATGTTGGATAGAGATTTGACCACCTGACGGTTGTGAGGCCTCTTTGGTTCCAGTGCAAGAGGTTTTTCTGTTCTATGACTAATTCTAGAAAGGTCCTCAAGGTGGCTTCATCCCAGTTAGCATGATCAGCAGACATCTGTTGCCATGTGGAAATTGTATGGTATGATGTATGCAACATACAAGAAAGAGTGCAGCACTTGTAAGAGTAACAATTAGGGGAGTTAGGGCGTAAGAGATGGGGACATGCCTTGCTAGAAGTCTTCACGCATTTTGAACAGTGGATGTAGTGCCTGCCTTCAGAAGAGGAGCAGGACGAAGTGGACGACGCTGCTTGTGTGGTGGTTCTGGCGAGAAGGCAGTCGATTCCGGCGAACTAAGAGGCGGATCCATTGACGGCGGTCGGGCTCACCTACAATAGGAGCATGTGGGGGTCAAATCCAGAGGGGCGGGGGGGGAGGAGGACGGCGATGGCGGATCAGGAAGGCGGGGATGGCGGCGGTGTTAGAACAGGTGGGGAGGGAGTGGGGTGAACTCGGATCTAGGGGTACCTTGTTGCCGGCGGACGGGCATCGACGTCGGTGGGTTGAAGGGGGGGATGCGGCGCTCTAGTTCGACAAACGTGAGGCTTTTGATGGCACCGGGGCAGGCACGGAGAAGCGGAGCTCACGCCCATGGTGGCCCGCGCGGCGGAAACCCTAGACGTGGGGGGCGCGGGGGACAAAGTGAGGGAGGGAGGAGAACACGGTCGACAGCTTGGCT